ATTACTCAAAGTTCAATCAAAGTTTACACAGTTCCAAATACTGGTCTCCTGGGAAAAGTCCCAGTGGAAAGTCCTGTGTTTTGTGACCCATCTACCATCCCAACCTGCCTCAAAATAGGACCACTTCCTTCTTTATTCCTGTCAGTGCAGTGGTCACGTGATTGCTGCCTTCCAAATATTTGGGTTACGGATGAATTACTGACTCATCATTACATGGGATGTGTGCGGATTTTGTTGCGTTACTTTTCGTAGGAAAACATACAAACAGTGCATGGGAACAGTCTGACACCTTTTTTATTCATTTTTATTTTATGCAACTGTATAGCTGCTTTTCCACAGGACAAAAACTGATTAAGACCAACTAACATCCAGCTTTTGTCTAGTGGGAAAGTTTATAATCGGCATTCACTCCCGGAACAGCTCTGCAGTAGTCATGGGTATGTTCCAGTTGCATCTTCCATCCGTCTTCATCTGAGCAGCACTCGAAAATTGTTCCCAATAAGTCAGCTTGGAATTTAAAACATATAAAAAACATAAAAAGGAAGTAACACCGTGACATTTTTACTGACCTCCACGATGCCCGCAACTGCTATTTTTCAGTGCGTCGGTGACGTCAAATGTAACACAGCAGCAAAAAAGTAATTAAAAAAAAAACAAAACAAACAAAAAAAACCAGAAAGGCATACGTATCTTTTGCCTACTTTAGCAGAGTTTCTCATGTTTAAAAAAACCTGCATATAAGCAATAATTTTAGTGGAAAGGGGTTAACGGTGCACAGACATGACATGCTCCTCTGCGCCTTAACAGCTCAATGTTGGTGTGCTGATTCCAGATTCAGGAACTCAGCGGAAAGCTTTTCCCATTTTTAGTTTATTTTATTCCCTATACTTTATTGCATGTTTTCAGCATGAAACTTTAAAATGTATTATTATGTTGGCGTTACAACTGATTTTTATTGATAGGCTAACAGTTCTCGAATAAGGTTGCATTCATCATCTTGTGTAATGTGATTTGTTTGTTTTAGATTCAAATTGATCTGTAGGATATCAATTAAATTTATCAATATAATAATATATTAGCCTACTGTTACATATTCTACAGTGCTATCAGAATGGCACATGGCAGAGCCTACTGGGTATCAGATGTTGTGGGAACTTTGTCTGCTGGCTGTGGTGACACAACTGTCACCCCTCCATCCTCTTGTAAAGGAAAAAAAGCTGCTAGTGCGGGGACGTTTTAATTGGAATTTCATGTGGGCTAAACTGAGGGGAAACTGATGTAAGTTAACATTTGGTAGACTTAATTGGTCCCTTTCTCTCCCTCCTCCTCGATCGGGCACTTACAGGCCGCTGCTGAAGCTTCCCGCTAATCTCCCATTTACAATCAATTCAATCGTCCAGACAAAAAGTCCGCCTCTCTCCTTTCTTCTCTTCTTGTCTCAAACGAGCTCCTTTGTGGCCCGTAAATTGCCTGAATCCCCGGTGATCCCCCCGGTGGCGGAGAGAGCAAAAGAAAGATGTCCTCATGTTGTTGACAGCCGATTAGCGCGCGCTCCCGGCCGCTCTCGCGCTAACCTCCCCCTCCCGGCCCCCGTCTCTAATCTCGCTCCGCGTGGGCGCGCCTTAATTAAAGCTCCCGTTCGTCAGTTAACGTGTTTGTGGATACTGAGGCGGTTGCTCAGATGTTGAAGAGGTGCGAGAGGGAAAGAAGTGCAGAGAAAAGGGCAACCTGTTTGCCTTTAGGTTGTTTACTGCTCCGACATTGTTGTCCATGTCCCGCAGCCTGCAGGCTTTGGACTCATGTGCACACACGGCTGCTGTGTGTGTGTGTGAGTGTCTGTGTGTTTCTCACCACACACATCATGCTTTGGATTAAACATGGATTTTACAAATAGATCATATTGTATCGTGGTTAGTGCTGAAAACGGCATACATGTTATTTATTTGTATTTATACGCACAGAAACTGCAGTTTTATAGATTATCGGCCCCAGAGGAATATGTCAAGATGGACAGGGGCGTAGCTACACCAAGGACATGTCTTTGGACTTGTTTTTCTTTTTTATTTCATTCTGCAATGATTGACATGCATCTTTCAAATAAAGAAAGAAAGATCGAGTGAATATTTTTAGGCTCTCTTCACCTATGCCAGATGTATTTCTTCACTATAATTATTTACGTTTGAAACCATTTGCACGAGGAGATAAACACTGACAAAATTATTGCTAAGGCTATATATTTTTTTAGATTGTGTTTTGCCATTTTGCATTTCGTTTTTTGGAAAAAATCGACTATCCACGCAATATATTATTGCCTGTTATTGACTGGTGAGCAAAGCAAATCTAAGAGCCACTTGCATATTTTACCAGCATTTGGCTGGTGGTTGGTGCTAATTTTTCAACCCTGAATCGACTTTTTAATGATGGGAGTTGCAACTCATGACCCCAAAGACTTATTTTAGACTTGATGAAACGCTGGAAAAACAAAGAAGAACTCCAACAAATGCATCTCATCCTCCATCCATAGCTCCTTACCACTCCCATCCAGTGAAAACTATAGTATTGAAATTTAACAGCTTTGTTGCCAGTGTTGGCATGTAACTAGTTAAATGTAATTAAATTACAAAATAAATGTAACTGTAATCAGTGACACTTACTGAGAAAAAAATAGTTACTACTCAAAATGTTGGTGATTACAAAGGAGTTACATCTGAATTATGTATCATATAAACATTGTTTCAAAATTCTTTCAACGTTGAAACAGATCTTTCTGAAGTTTCAATGTTGATTTATGGGAATTTTGTTTACCTATTAACAACTATCAGAATTAAACGTTTCAATGTTGTTTTAATGTTGAAACACGACTGACATAATTTCAACCACATTTCAACATTGAAGGTCAGTCGTGTGCCATATATATATATATATATATATATGTGTGTGTGTGTGTGTGTGTGTGTGTGTGTGTATATGTATGTATGTATAGCCCCACTATACAATATCATCACGATACTTGAGTCCCAATACGATATTATTGCGATTTTAAACATATTGCAATATGCTCAATATTGGGATAAATATATTGTGATTTATACCTTTTTTGAATTGCAAATTTTGTCCCCAAAGGAAAACTTTGTCAGCACCTGCCTCATCTCATAAGGAAGTTTTTAAGTCTGTTTATCTCACTTTATTGTTTTTTATTGCAGCAAAATGTATCTAGCAGGCTGAAAAAACATTTGTCTACATTATTACGTTATTCTTGTTGACTACAAAAGTATTTGTATTTGTAATATAAACAAATGATATAATTAGAAAATCCATACTTGGCATCCGTGTGCCAATACAATATTGCCATACAAAAATATCACTATAGGATCATGTATAGATTTTTTTCTCCCACCCTTAAAATAAATTGTAAAAAGTTTCTATGTGCAGGAATGTCTTGTTTTGGCTCAGCCTACTCTTGGACATTTTTTCTCAGCTTTATTGCCCCGTTTAAAGCATTTGTTTTAAAAGTTATAGAAAAAAGTAATCCAAAGTAATGACTTCAATTACTTTGATGAAATAATTAAAATAGTTACATTACTGATTCGATTTTACGGGTAATTTGGAGCTACAATAACGCGCTGATACCGCCAGGAAAAAGTCCGTTTTCACGCCCTCCCCAACATATTTTCTTCATTTCAGCCGGCTGACTGCAGACTGATGGAAATAGGTGAGCAGGGCATTCATCTGGCAATATTAGCCCTGCCAGGCTTCTGCAGGCCTGGCCGGCCCGGCTGAGCGCTAATTGGCTGTTAATAGAAAGAGCGCCATTTGGGAGCACGGATCTGCCTCTCGACAGAATGTGTGCAGGGATAATATTGTTCCAGGAGCCGTGAGGAGAATAACTCGCGGTCTATTAACGCGGAGGCCCAGATGAGGAGCTGCGGCCTGAGTGCTCCATTATCTCCCGTTCTGATGAGCGGCTCCGGATGCGACAGTGCACCCCCCCTCATCCCTCCCTCCTCCCCAATCAAGCGTCCCCCAGCCGTTTAGCTGGTTAATGTAATTCGCTTTCAAGGGCCCATGTTATCTCTGATCATTTGCGCTATTACGCCGGAGTCAAGTGTAAATGCTCCATTATTAAGATCGTGTCTGTCAATAAATGGGGAAACAAAGTGGCTGCAGAGCATACAGTAGAGCCAGGCTGAGTCTATATGTGGTTTAACAACACTTCAAAATAAAACACCCACAAAGTTTAGCGGACAGATGCCTGTGCAGTAATATACAGTGACGTATGCTGTGATGTTGTCATTGAACCACACTGGGCATCATATTTAAACCGGTCACGACTGTTTGTTGTTCAGGCTCCACAATGATGCCACAAACACTGACATCAAGGCAGACTGAAGATTCATCTGTTCAAAATGCTAAATGTAGCACTTGATCAGCACATTTGATGACGCTGATGCATGATTCTTGCAATTTTTGTTGTTGCAAACCAGTTAAAGTCACTTATTGTAAGTCACTGTAAATATAAGCATCATCTAATAGCCTATGTATTTAATGTAAATACAGTTACTGATGCTGTTATTTGGCTTAAAAATATGATTTATGAAATCTATGTATTTAAACAAAGCTGTCATCTTGAAGGTGTCATCTCATAGTGTGTTTCAGATGACTGGTCCTGAGGTTTAAAACACAGCAACAATATAAAAATAATAATAACACACCCTCAACAAAATACAATTACACACAAATCAAACAATTAAAAGTTAATTCACAAAAAACAACAGCTCACAAATTTAAACAAATCATAAAATTTCAAAGTTCTGCAGCTGTTTTTGAAATGTTGCTGTTTCCTGTTTGGTTCTGCTTGTTAATCGTCATTGTGTATTTACTCGTTTTAAGCTCTGACATGCTCTTAGTTTTGGATATGTTTCTCTATTTGTTTGTGTGTTTTCTGAAATCTGTAACTCGTACATTAAAAAACAAAGTTTCTGAACTTAGTCGCTTTCATCATTCATTGTTTTATTTTCAAATGCCTTCAAAAAATGCAAACAACATGGCTCAAACATTCATTTTTCATTATAAGTTATAACTTATTTATTCACATTAACATTTTTTTCCTGTGAAATACACAACATGGCAATGATTCACATTTTAAATATCATTTTTTAAATTTCCATAACCTATTATTTACAGTTCCATGATGGAGGCAGACGATTTCTCCCATGTTTGATGCTTGTAACTGGCAACACAGGAAGAAATTCTATCTGGGCAGAAAAACATCCCTATAATAATCCTACAGTATGGGACCCAGTGTGAGTATGAGGTGTCTTTGTACCTTCTGGTCTGTTCCCTACAGTGTCACTGTTGGCACACTTGGGCAGGATCCTATGTCCAATTTCATTGGACCCCTCCACCTTCTCTCTGGACTTTCAAAAACTGTTCAACGTGGAGGAACTAAGCCAGTCTCTTTGAGGCCTAACAGTCTGAGGTGGAATATCAGAATGTGTTGCGGCCTCAGCTCTGCAGCTCTCTGGAGGCTTCCGTGGCCGCGGTGAAGACGTTGTCATGCAGCTTCCTGATGTGTTTCTTCAGGTCAAAGTTGCGACAGAAGCCCTTGCCGCAGGTGGCGCAGGTGAAGGGCTTCTTGTCGTTGTGTGTGTGCATGTGGAAGGTCAGGTTGTAGATCTGGTGGAAGGCCTTGTTGCAGATGGAGCACTTGTACTGCTTCTCCCCGCTGTGCGTCAGCTTGTGGTTCTTGTAGTTTCCTGGGAAATTGAAAAAGGAACAATGGATGCATGAGAGAGTGAGGATTAGATGAACAGAAACATGAGGAAATGTCACTGAACTCAACAAGTTGAAACCTACATCTATGATTTTCATTACTGATTGATTACTGATGGTTTCATCTTTAAAATGTAAAAGAAGATACAATTTTATCTCAGTCACCAGAGTCAAAATTTATGTCTTCAAATTTATTCTGACCGGCAGTTAAAAAATCCCCAAAAGGATTAAATGGTAAAAAGCAGCAAATTCTCAGACTGAAGAAGTTCAAACCAGCTGCTGTTTTTTTTTTTTTTTTTTACAAGCACTTATCAAAACGGTAAGTCATCCTTTCAGCAGTTTCACATCACATCAGACTTCCTGTAACTTCAAGTGAAAATGACATTCCATTACATAAACATTTTCCAGCCCAAAATTAAGATGTTTGACAGATTCAATTTCTTTTCTCTGCAAAATAATGCATGGAATCAATAAAAATAATCACTGCATATAAACAGAACAGCAGCTTCACTCCACCACCAAAACATGATTAAAAAATATTATCTGTAGAATTATAAAGCCAATATGCATTGTAAGAAGTCCGTCTTCATGTGGAAACACAAATGAAGCAGCAGTAAATGTGAACAGAATAATCACCCCCACTGCAGATGTTTCCCCTGTGAGCTCACAGTTGAAATAACTAAAGACGGATCATTATTTAAGAAGGGATGAGGAGGAGCAGGAGGGGACAGTGAGACACTGCTGTTTACTGGGAATCTCCTCAGAAACTGAGGATGGAAGAGGCCCTCTTTTTCTCCTCTTTTCTTTCCTCCCCGCCAAGGTCAGCAGTTCACTGTGAAGTTAGAGCCTCCTCTGTCCCTCCGCTCCGCCGAGCCTTCGTTAATCAAGGTTTTGTACGTCGGAGTCAAGAAGTTGTCAAACTTTGTCAAAATCAAGCGCGGCGACAAGTTAACAAAAAAACACAGGCCCCGATTCCCAACGTGGCCGAGGTCTAGCAGCTGACCCAGAGCAAATGCTGCCGTCTTGAAGGGAGAATTAGTCTGTGTAAAGTGACATGTCTTATTTCCACTGATCGCGTCATGCTCATCAGTGGGCCTGCAATTATTTACCCTTTCATTCCCTCTCACAGATCACTCAGGGCAGCTGCTTTTACTGCTCCTGATATTAGTTTCAGCAGCGAACAAATCCCATAAATCCCAGGATTCCTTCACTGAGAACAAACACCAATACTAAACTCTCATTGCTTGGGGAGAACTCATATTTCTTCATGCCGAATTAAACGCAGTGATCTAATCTATTTCAAAAATAAATCAAACCATGCAGGAGAAACACTGAATACTATCACAACGAGAAAATACTGTATCAATAGAGTGTAACATTAGGAGACGGGAAAAACATCACCAGAGGTACAGTGTAGGAATTCCTAAAATCACGGAGCATTTAGTTTCTCAGTCCTGAAAATCTTAACAAGTTCATCAGTGGAAAAAGATTTGATAATTTCACCATGCGCGGAGGTTTTTTTTTCTAGGTTTGAGAATATATTTTAGGACGCAACAACAGGCAAAATAACGATTTTTTTTTTGGCTTTGTATACACACTCTTGCACACTAACTATCGACATATTATAGGAATATTTAAACCATGTTAGGGGCAACAATAAGAGCCAAAAATAAACAAATACAAAATAAAAAAGACAACTAGGAAAAGCTGCCAAAAGTGTTTGGAATATTAATGCTCATTGTAACTCGGCACATGAGTGTTTTAAAGATGCCATTTACCTTTCTGGTGGAAACCTTTCCCGCAGAACTCACAAACAAAAGGTTTGTACCCGGCGTGGATCCGTACGTGAGTGTTGAGTGTGGAGCTTCTGTTGAACGCTTTCCCACACTGATTACATTTGTGAGGCTTTTCCTGAACACGGCGGAATGAAAGAGAAGAAAATTCAGTTACAACGAAAATAAAATGTGGAATTTTTAAAAGCCAGAAACAGATAAAGAAAATAAATCTTCATGCGCTGCGTCTCACCTGTGTGTGGATGATCTTGTGTCTGCACAGCGTGCTGGCCTGTCGGAATCCTTTCCCGCACACTTTACACACGAAGGGCCGAGCTCCGGTGTGCACCGGCATGTGTCTGGTCAGATTGTAATGTGCGTTGAAAACCTGCGGAGGATACAAAAACACCGAGGATGTTATTTTAGACAACACCACCAGCGATTATAGAGTGGCTCAGAAATCTGCCTGCGTTAATACATCGAATTTAGATCAAATACATGTAGCTAAATATATATGAATATAAATATTTATCTGATTGCTGCCAAAGAATTATTATTTTTTTAACTCTGAGGAGAAATTTTCGTTTTAATGGAAAACATTTGCAGATTCTTTTATTTTCACTGACAATATTTGATAAAATGTTGACTCCAAATTTTAACTCTTTTATTTATAATTGATAAATAAATAAATATAAATATATAGCCTATATACATTAGTATGCAAAAGTGCGTACCTTTCCACACACTTCACACGTAAAGTTTTTGGGTTTTCCGTCTGCAGCGCTGCTGCTGCTGCTGCTGAGTTTGCTGTGCGTCTTGACGCCGTTCTTTTCTGCGCTCAGGCCGTGGTTCTCCTTCACTATCTGGTCCAGCTGCCCCGGCAGATGCTCCTTGTGCGGGTACTGAGGTGTGGGCAGCTTGTCGCCCCCCACCCCGGCAAGTTTGGCGTTCTCCAGCAGCAACAGTCTGTGGTGCGCCGACAGAGAGGCCTGGGCCTGCGGGTTGGAGAACCAGTGTCCGGCCAACAGCTCCGACTGCTGGTACGCAGAGTCCAGGTAGTTGAGATAGTAAAGCGAGCCGCCGCTGGGCACGGCCACGGCCTGGTGGATGACCTGCGGTTTCACCACCCTGCTCCCCGACGTCAACAGCGGCTGTTTCAAGCCCGGCTCCGCTTTGCCGCACATACCGCAGTTCCCTTTGCACGGAGCGGCTGCCGAGCCGCAAAAAGTCCCCCTGAAACTGGCTCTCCACAGCTCCGAGTAGTTCATGAGCGCCTTGGCTTGGAGGTCGTAGCTGAAAGGCTGCAGCGGGATCATGCAGGGGATCGGGGAGCACAGCCCCAGCAGCTTTTTCCCCTCTGAGCGCTCCTCCGCGCTCCCCTTCGGCTCCGAGCTCTTGGACATGATCCGATCTATGGAGAAGGCAAGGGTCTTAGGAGCCGCGGACGGTCCGGTCCTACCGCAGGACATCATCGTCTCCAAGGAAGCAGAACTTGCCATTTTGTTGTTGATGTTGTTGTTTTTGTTTTGTTTGCAGCAGAGCAGAACTTGGTGTGAGCAACTCCCGGTTATAGTCCGACCCGCTCCTCCAGCTGCCCCGCGTCTTTTCACTCTCCTGAGCTCCCAGCAGAAAAGACAGGAGGACACATCAGTTTAATAAGCACCTTGCTGTCACAGTGTCACGCATTTGCATTCAAATGGCCATCCCCCCTGCAACAATAGCATCCAGGGGTGATGGATTAATGCTCATTAACTAGTGCACACAAAATTAACAGGACATTACAGAGCTCGTTAGGAAGCAGAAGAGGAAGGAGAGGGCAGAGGAGGGAGAAAAGACAAAAAATGTTGTAGTCGGAGCTCCTGGAGAATGAGAGAGCATGAAGTTGAGTCGGTGTTGGAGGTTACCTCTTTAATGGTCAGATGGGTGTGGAGAAACCAGCCGACTGCTCTCTGTCACATGTTGGCAGCGCCCGCCCCTCCTCAGCGCGGATCACTGTCTCCTGACATCAGCGGGCACCCAAACTCTACTGGGTGACAGGGAGACGCCTTCATCAACCTGCGCGCCCTCACAAACAAATCTGTAGAGGGGGTGGCACAGGTTACTCTATATGACATATCAAATATAAAACCATGTCCCTCACTAGAACAGGTGAAAATATCATCATCATAACTGGTCGTTAAACATGCGTTGGAAAAGTTGTATCAGTCTCCAGCTTTCATTTGGTTAACAACACAGTAATCTTTTTCTTTTTCACTTTGGGAAATGTTTTCCAGGAGAAAGCTGCTAATCCTCGGAGATGGGATCCCTCCTTTTCCACGCCGGCTTATATACTTACTTACTATTTGTATAAATTCGAGGACGTCCAATTTCCACCTGTTTAAGAGCAGAGACTCCCTTTGGATCCTATTAAACGTTGTTCCTCCTTCCCTCCATTCAAAAGAAGCAATTTTCCAGAGCGATTCAAGGCTCAACTCAGCGCAGGGAGGGGAAAAAAGAAAGAAAAAACACAAGCTCTTTCACTTTTAGCCACTAAAGCACTGCGTGAACCTGGTTTTGTGGTTTTTTTTCTTCCTGAAATAGAGGGACGGATTAAAGAGGGAGAGAGGAAAAAGAAAAGACTTAGCTCGGGCAGAAAGGACAAATGAAAAGAGAGGCTTTTTTTTCCTCTCTAAAGGGGCACACAAGAAGTTTGCTGGAATCCGCAGTGTTGTGGGAGTTACAACGAGCAGCAGCCTCTCTTCTTTTCGCCACAAGGGCCGTGTTGGATTCATGTGTTTGCAGGCCATTTTACCTGAGGGACTCCCATCAAGACAGAGGGAGGGGACAGAGTTCATGCAACACGTCTGCTGAGGACGAGGGAGGGTGGGGAGTGAATGGGCCTAATGAAGAAAATGAATATTATTATAATTAGCACAGCCTTACCTCCATGTAGGGTGAAGTCAGGTAATTTGAGACATCAGATGACAAATAAGGTTTTATGTCTTGACCAAACATGTTATTGAGTTGTTGTTACAAATGTCCTTTAAATGAAACAACCATTTTTTATTGTTTGGAGATAATACGTTTAAGAGTCAAATCATAAATACTGGAACTGAAATGTGTTATTTATTCTGACTGAAGTGAAATTACTTAAAGTTAACAATTTGCATGGTCATTTTTGACTAGGATTGCATTAAAATAAATTGGTTAGAAGAATGTTAATAAAACAACTTGACCACTAAATATCAGCATATTGTTTGGATTAATATTAAGTTGGTTGAACCTAAGCTTTTTAAGGTCAAAGCAAATCATGCTGGTTGTACTAACCTAATTGAGTTTGTCAGACTGCATTTACTCAGTAACACCAGGGCTGTAACTACTTACAAAGGTAGTTGCAAATTTGTACCTTATTTAATTTTAAGTTTAACCAGTGTGTTCTTTTTTAGAGTGCAAACATGTTGATATCTCTTATTGGTAACAAGAGTACTGCAGGTAAAACAATACAGGCATAACAGCAAAAATGGCTGTAGGATGTTGCGTTTTATTAAATGTTTGATTTATAATCAAAATACTTTCACAATACACTTTAGTTTTTACAGGAAAAGGTTTTGAGTGAGCACTTAATGCATTCAGGTAAAATGGGACAATGTTAAAATGGCACATTTTTCTGAAGTAAATGTTTTTAGATTACCAGGTGCCATAGAGTCATGAGTTATGATATTGTAGACATTTTTAGTTTTTTTGTCGCTTAATTTTTTTTTAAAGATGATGGAGTGAGTCCATGTCAGCCAAAAAAGTCCAGAAAAAAACACTGTTGAGGTCCACAGTTTCTGAATTGTTTTACTAAGCAACATATTTTCTTCATAGAAATATAGCAGAGAGCCATAACAAGTTTTAAAATCAACATTTAAAGTAGTATTCAGAGTTTTAGTTGTTTTGTGGTAACCTACCAAACAGTGTCCCAGATTACCTGACTCCACCCTGGATCTGTTATGATCTGCCATATTTCATTTCACATGGTAAAAGGTTTAATTTATATTATTAATATTACTGAGTCTGAAGATATGAGAAAAAATATGATTGATGATTGTGTTCTTTAGTATTTGAGGCATCCCATGTTAAAGGCTATAGGTAAAATAATTTTTTAAAGATGTGAGGGGAGGTGAGTTGGGGAACTAGTTATAGAGTACCAAAGTACCAAATGAAATGACAAAATAAATGTCATTGTAATCCATTAGAGTAACTAACATTTTTCATTATATTGAAGAACTTCTAATAAAAGTTTGACAGTAATCAGTGTTGGGGGCTGTTGTGCGGGCTACACTGCCTGGTTTAAATCTGTTAGGACTTCTCCGCTTCTTCAGTTTGAAACATTTCTCAGAAAATTAATCAAAAACTAATCAAATGTTATAAGTGACATTACTTTGATATGAAAATAGTTACATTCCTTTTTACATTTTAACAGGATAACTAGTGATCTGTAAGCTATCATATTTCAAAAGTAACTTTCCCAACACTCACCAACAGTACTGAAATACGGCCCAGCCGAAACACAACCCAACATAAAGTCTTGCCAACGGGCTCTATGAGGCGCATTAAAGGATTTATAAGTGGTAACTAATGGTTTAATTAACGAGTAATAAAGCATTTACCTGTGTTTAACACACCAGTCATGTGCTTGCATTAGGAGGAACTACTGAGGGGATACCAGGTTGCTTGCTACCTGCTCCAGCAGGTCACTTGATTTGTCTTTTTAGCAAGCCCTTTAAAACATTAGGGAGACCTTTCCAATGGACTGTTTGACCACTGACAGTGTTGTAAAGCATCTGGACCAAAATAACACTTTTATAACCACAGAATGACTAGCGACCTGTTCTGGGTATACTCAGGTCTTGTATTTGTCTGAAAAAACCAGCCCTGTTCAACTGAACTAATCGTCCTCTATTTGTAATCACTGATGGTCCATGTTTTACTGTAGCTGGAGGAAGGTGATGATTTACCTTCAGCCCTGTAGACTTACCCAGCATGTCACTGTCCTGTAACACTAGTTTTCCTGTTAATAACCTTAAGAAACATCCCTAGTCTGTTTTGTTTTACACCTGCAGCTCAGCATGGAGGGATTAATGCCTGTTGTCTTGGTGCTAGTCATATGGAAATAGGGCAAAAATACTCTAATTTGAGTTTATTCAGGCACAATTGCCGGCTCATCCACACAATAAACATTGATCCCATTGTTGTCACCCAGGCCCCTCTATTCAGCTCTAACAGCAATTAGCTCAAGCATTGATTTAAGGGACTTTTGCTTCTTGCCTGCAGGCATGCAAGGGTCACACATACTGGCTGGATGTGGCAAACCTCTTCCTCGTGTCTTTTATATATTTATTTATTTGTTGTTGTTATTTTCAGTGCTCTCTGTTCTTTTTTCCAAACAATTGTACAATTTTAGATACCAAATTTGGAGCCAATGACAGATTTTTTTTTACAAGTGTATAGTTTTAATCAATCAATCAATCAATGTTATTTATAAAGCCCAATATCACAAATCACAATTTGCCTCACAGGGCTTTACAGCATACGACATCCCTCTGTCCTTATGACCCTCACAGCGGATAAGGAAAAACTCCCCAAAAAAAACCCTTTATCAACAGTCTTAATTGATCTATCTACAGTGGACCCACAGTGTCTGAGGGGAGTGGGGGTTTCTTCTACTTTGTGTCAGGCCTTTTATATACATCAATTCTTGTCCTTTTCAGGGTTTCAGGACGGTTCAGTCAGCACAGAAATGAAAGGTATACCTATTAACATTTGTGATTTTGACCAGTTTATAAAATGTAATTTTTTTGTAATTCTTTTTAAGAAATTAATCTAAATACACAGAGGGTTTGGGGAAAGAAAGAAAAAGTTGGTCTTATTGTTAAAATCCTTCAATTTACCTAAACAGTGAAGTCAGTTTAAGTCATTCCACACTCTCGCACACTCATTCACAATAGCTACATAATTAACAAGAGTTAATATAAATAATGAACTCTAAATTGGGAGTTTGGGCACATTTTGAAAAAGAAAGAAAACCTGAACACATACATACTGTGTATATATACGTGTGTGTGTGTGTGTGTGTGTGCAAACTATACATGAAATAATTTCATATATTCACATTTATGTCTAGCCCATACCAATATCTGTTTATGTATGTATAATACATTTTTTACTATATATGTCACATTTGTAACTATACATATATATATTTATATAAGTAATGAATATGTGTAATGTACAAATAAACTCTACTCTACATGAACTTCCATATTTAAATTAAATATATATCAATAACATATGTGGTCACAACATATAATACCATATAAGAACTCATCATATAAATATATTTGCATCTATAATATATGCTTACAATGTAGACATATATCCACCCCCAAACCCAAAGCCCATTAATATCTGTTGATATGTATGTAAAAAATTAATATGAAAAATATATGTAAGCAAATCAAATTTTTGTATGTATGTTTTACTTCACAAATTTGCATATATAAAATAAATATAACATATGGCAGCAACATATAATACCATATAAGGATTCATCTTGTTTTTTATATACATATGCAAAATTTACGATAGGCATTTCATACATGTTATAAATGTATATCTTCATATATCCAGATAATGTATGTATATGATAATAATATAACATCCTATAGGTTACATATATGGCAGTATCACTCTTGAAATAGGGACATGTTATATATTTCATTTCTGTATGGGCTTATTCGTCCTGCAGTCCCTCAGTTGTCATGGAAATGGCTTATTTGTCATCATTGACCCGAGTTTGGGATTTTTTTGCATGTGATAACAGGTTGTATGGTAATGGGATCAGTCTCCCTGTCTCTGTTCCGGTTTTTCTCAAGATGTCATTTACAAGGTCATTAATGAACGCTGCTGAATTAAACAAAGCTAAATCTATCCTAGATGTTGCATTGCATTATGGGATTCTTTTTTGTTTTACTGTGTCTTTTTTATTGCACAATAGCGCATAAACGTTTTTGGACAGCAAATACTAAAATCACTCAAAGTAGATACATTCTGCTGGATAGCAAAGAGGAAGGATTTTCAGACAAGGTTTCACTTTTCACTGCACTATATGAACATCCCTCCATCCCGGGTCATTTTAACCCATCACAGTAGGAAAAGCAAAGGTGTACATAACACACTGACGGCTGCATTCTATTTAGCTGCTTTGCTTTCAGGGTCAGACTGTTTGCTGTGAAAAAACCCTGCTGGTTTGTTAAAAGGTATTCTGTAGCCTGACTCCTGCATCTTCTCTCCACATGACTTAATAATGTTATCCTTGACATGGCCGTGACTTAATGTCCTTAAAATCAACTCAACTGAATTTTAATGCATAACTATTTCTGTGTTTACTTTTCTCCTGAATATAAATATGTGGATAATGTTCTTTACACAAATCATAGTTTCTTTTTTTTGAACTGGCAGAGCTACTCTACATGCCCTGTAGTATGCCCTGGACACATACCCCTGGTTAGGAATCACAAGTTTCAACCCAATCACCAGACAAAATGCTGGTATTGTACATTTCTGCAAACCATGGCTACATTACATTTGTACGTTATTATGTCGTGGATATGTTGAAACTTAATATTTCTTTACATTTCAACAAAGCTGTGGTCAATGTTTGGTAAGGTTTAGGCACAAAAAACACTCTGTTATGGTTAGAAAAAGATAATGTATTAGCTTAAAATACCTATTTTGTGGCAGTATCCCAGCAGAAA